TCACTGGCAAAAACAAGTCATTTGGCCACCCCATATTAACGAGTGAATAAAAAGAATATTATGAAAAGAATAGAGAATTGTGGGTATTTTTCCTATCCCTCACAATGATATTTATTATTATATTTTTAAAGATGAGAGAATTTCTGCTTTATATTTATGAGAAAATGAGAAATCTAGTAAATATTAAAAAGGATAAATACCTAGAATATAGAGGATAACTGCTAAGAAGCTAAGAACTGTTGTGATTCAGAATAAAAAGGGAGAATTCACCTTTTAAGAAGCAAAATGTCATCATTTTTCCTTAGAATGATGGAAAAGAAATGAATGTGAATCCAGAAAAATTTGGTTTCCTGGTAACCTTATTTTTCCTTGGAGAAAATAAATCTTTGTCATCTGTTGAGTATATTGGAGAAAGTAGTGTTTTAAGGGCTTGTGGAGAATATTAACTTTTTGGAAGAGCTGTTGAGCAGAACTGGAGAGGAAGTCAAGGTCCAAACAAAAGAATAAACAAAACAACCAACAAAACATTAGAAAAGCACAGGACCCAGCTGAAGCTGCAGACATTGAACTTGTGCTTTCATCAATTCACAGTGACTCACCCAACCCAAATGTGAATTGAGAAAGGTGCCTGCTCTGCACAGGTGAAGGGGAATTCAGTCCCACTCTCAGTTGGTGATCTTATACAGCAACTTTAAGAATACAAGGTCTAGAAACATAATGGCAGTTGCTGAGATCGATTTAACAAGGAGAAAATGCCTAGTGGATTGGCAAGAGTGGATTGGCAAGAGACCAAGATAGTATGTTGACCATGCTGGCAAGAAGGTCGAGACCGAACAAAGTAATGCTGAAACCTAACATAAAAAATGGGATTAGGGAGATGAGACTGGATAGCAAGAGAGTGGTTCTGTCATGAAGGAAGGATCTTCAGTTCATGGTAGATGCAAAGAAAGCACAGATGAAGTCTTGAGCATAGGTGATCAGATTTTAAAAGGTCAGTTTGTTGATAAGTTAAATGGGGTACAACTAGAGGTAGGAATACCAGCAAAGATTATGTAATTTGTGTAGCTAAGAAAGACTGTCAATCTGCCCTGTAATATTATGGATATTCATTAGAAAGAAGAGGACCAATCCACAGGTGAGTTTAGAAGGCCAGATTGCCATAACGTAATGATTGGTATGTGAAGTCAATGGAGACCCTGGGTTTCTGTCTTTCATAACTCTATAGATTTAGGAGTAGGAGTACAAATGTATGGGGCCAACATCCTGTGCTGTCCAAATCTTGGGAACAATCCAAAATATTAGGCAGAAAATCAATCACTCAACCTTTATTGAGATGCTTTAAGATCTCATAGACACATTAGGGAAAACAGAATATATTGAGGAGCAATTACTTTTAGATTTACTAAAACTACAGGGCAGCTCCAAAATAGAGATTGGTTGTTAGAATAACTGGTAGTCTTTTTTATATAGGATCTGAGGGTGAATGTATGATTAGGATCATCCACCTAATCAGAGCAGCACATTGCAAGCATCTTATGTTACTGAGATTATTGTGAATGCATTCCAGAGTTCAGGATAGACTTTCTAGATGAGAATTTTGAGAATGTCTTTGGAGGAAATGGGTGCTAACGGGGCTGAAGGAAACAGGAGTTCTGGAGATTGTAGACCACAGTTATGTGGGGGGAGCTCTAGAAAGATGTTGGAAGCAAACAGATCAATGAAGGTGAGGTAAGAAATAAATGGTGGAGAAGACTGAGAACATATTGAGGGAGAAGAAATTAGATCATAATACGCATAGAGAACAGCATAAGACATTATTAATGGGAGAGAAAGAAAGGATGGAAATAATTTGGAAATGTTGACAGAAAAAGTTGACATCACCTGTAAGGAATTTACAGGAAAGAGGTAAAATGAAGGACTGATGCTGACCTACTGATTGAGGATTTTGGCAGGTGCCTATTTCTTCTTTCTGCATAAAATTTTTATTCATGTGTTTACCCACTATTTAAAAAAAATAAGTATTGATTAGATAAACTCAGGAAAAAGTCTTTTTAAAAAATAAAAAACAAAATATGAACGCTTTATTCCCTGAAATTTTATAAAAATATGAAGCCACATTTTAATATTAGTTCAAATTAGGGTAACATTATAGTGTATCTCCATGTTAGAAATGAGTATGTTGCAAATACTTAGTAATATATTAAATCAAAAAATATAATAAAAAATAATGTATAGATTAATAAAAACATATTAAACATTTTTAGACTTTTTGGAGTCTTTCTCTTAGAAGTTCTTCAATAATCAACTTTTATTTTTTATTTTATTTATTTATTTACTTTTTTGAGTTGGAGTTTCACTCTGTCGCCCAGACTGGGGTGCAGTGGCCGCTCCCAGCCACCGCAGCCTCGACCTGCTGGGCTCCGGCAATCCTTCCGCCTCAGCCTTCTGAGAAGCTGGAATTACAGGCATGCGCTACCACGCCCGGCTGATTTTTAGATTTATTGTAACGATGAGGTCTCGCTGCCCAGGCGGGTCTCGAACCCGCGGGCTCAGGCAATTCACTCACCTCAGCCTCCCAAAGGTGCGGGATTACAGGCTGAGCCACCGAGCCCAGCTCAACTTTTAAAAGTACAATAAAATTCTGAGTTATTTATGTTAGATAAAATATCATTTAATGTAGTAGACTTTAGGCATTTAGAAGTCAAAGTTTTGAGAAAGTTGGAGGGAGAGTCTTTTCCTCTGAATAAAACCTGTAAAATTATAAATATATGGTCTTAACATAATGATAGTTTGGGGAATGATCAGATAGATAAATGAATTTATCACATTCATTGGAGTTATTTGGACACAATATGACTGAAAAAGTAATCGAATTTTTGTGCCCACTATTATTAGTTTACAAAATTTTTCACCTAACAGCTATTCTAGGCATAGCACAATGTGCAAAGACACTCTACACGGTCTTGAAATGGCTCCATTCTTTCCATGAGAAGACATTAGTTGAGGAAAACAATTAGAGAAGACCATTCATTTATGACTTTAAAAAAGCCCTAACCTAAGAGAACAATTTCTTAAACATTAAATATTAATTTAACTACAAGTGATCACAGAACTCCAAATAAAATGTCATTCTTGTAGGGACGGAGACGTTCGTTAGTAGTATTTGAATTTAATTATATCCCTAACCACATGAATCAGTTACATAAATATTGGAAAAGTACAGTTGTTTCTAAGTAAAACTTGTGCAATAGTATTGTTAAGCTTTCTTCCTCAGTTTGATTGGATTTTGCTTGATTTTCAATTATCCCTGATTTTCCCATATTCTGAATTTTGCCAATATATACAAATATTGTTTATGTGACAATAATTTTTGTGTCGCAAATATACATATAAATTGATCTATAAAAGAAAGGGAAGTTTTGGGGTATGTTTGCTTGGAAACAGAAGCTTGGAGGAATTGTTTGAATCTGTCAGTTTTAAATATTTTAAGAGATGAAAACTATATGGTTTGAAAATCTTTGCTTTAGGCCTGACGGAAATCTTAATCTGTTATAAGCAAAATCAATAAATATCCTTTGCTGTGTTTATAAGTCAAGCTTTTATTAAGTTTAGTTATTAATACATATTTTCCTATGTGCTTTTTGCAACACCCTTATACATAAAATCTTAATACTTATCAATATTTTGAATGAGTTATATTCCCTAAATTTTTGATTAGACATACATGTTTACTCTTTATTTATAGATTGATAGAATGAAATAAATAATTATGAAGGGAAACCTCTTTTAAAAAGGTTTTAAAATCATTTATAATTTCAGTACTTATCCTAGAGTACAGATGATCTTTAAAATGACACAAGATTATACATATACCCAGTTATCTCACAGGCTCTCCCTAGGTTTCTTTATGTTCTCTTTATTTGGTGTGGGATTGGTGAGCTTTCACGTGGTTTGTATATGTAAAGTGCTCTGGCTTCTTTTGATATGAAAGGGACTCTATTTCTCCCTGGGTAACTCAAATCACTTGTTAACTATTCATCAAATGTTCATGTTAAAAGTTCATTCTGGCAAGTAATTAGTAAAAATAAGCTAAAACTTCCTCTACATTTTGGACTTGCTTTTATTCTCTCAATTTATCATTCTGTGTTGATCATGGGTGTTTTATCTTTTGAATTCTTTTTTTTTTTCTCACGCTGTCGCCCAGACTGGAGTGCAGTGGACGCTCCTGGCCACCGCAGCCTCGACCTGCTGGGCTCCAGCGATCCTTCCGCCTCAGCCTTCCAAGTAGCTGGAACTACAGGCGCGCACTACCACGCCCGGTTAATTTTTTGATTTATTGTGGAGATGAGGTCTCGCCAAGTTGTCCAGGCAGGTCTTGAACCCGCGGGCTCAGGCAATCCACTTACCTCGGCCTCCCAAAGCATGGGATTACAGGCTGAGCCACCGAGCCCGGCTATCTTTTGAATTCTGAGCACTTTCCCAAGTTCACAACATGAAGGACTAAGTAGTGCAAGTATTTAAAACTTTAAACACGTGAAGCATGTTAATTTTTTTAAGGTTTGTAGTCATTATTATTATATTATGTTTGATAGTTTTACAGTGGAAAAAAAATCGATTTCATTTTCCAGAGTGAATATTGAAATTTATCCGAATGGTAATTTAAATCTTTTCAAATCACACAATTCAGAATTGAACCATTTTAGAAGTTGTGAGCAGCGCGTTTTCCAAATGGAAACATGCAATGCAATTGTATATTGATTTTTGATCTGGGGAATAAATGAGGTATAGAATATAACATACTACTTATATTTTATTCCAAATTTAAAGCAATGCCTCACTAGCAAAACATACTTTCCCTCTTTTTATGGAGGTTTGAGGTATCTCCTTTGGTGTAAACTAGTTTGTCAGACTGTTCGCATAATCACACAAGTTACAAGAGGTATTTTGACAGTTTCACAAATAATGTCCTATTTCAATCTGTCTATTTCTCTTTCCTCTAGTTAACTTCTTCTCCCACTACCTCTGAGCAGCTTGCCTGTAAACCACCTGCTTTCTCCTTTGTTTCTCCAACTAATCAGAACACACCACACGGCCCAGTTAACCTCGACGGAGACTCTGTCCTAGAGGAGTACCACGCTAGGAGGCTGGATGTCAATGGGGCCGTGGTGCAAGAATCAGCTACGTATTTTCATACTACTGCTCACTCTTCACCCTTTCCTGCATCGAAGGGCACCTCCTCGACGTTTCCGCTTCCCCAGTCCACTCAACTGTCAGGTTCTAACTTATCCAGTCCAAGTGCAGCCGATCAAAAGCCTGGACTGACGTCTGAAGTCCCGAAGAAGACGACTTTAACCTCGCATGTCCTTAGTCGTGGAGAAAGTCCGAGAACCTCTTCTCCTTCACCATCCTCCGGTGCTTCTCTGAAGTCGAATCCAGCCTCGTACATCCCAGTCCGTATCGTCACCCATTCACTCTGTCCAAGTCCGAAACCATTTCCCTCCTCTTTCCACGGCTCATCTTCCACAATCTGTAGCCAGACGTCATCTAGTGGAAATCTTTCAAAGGCAGGCGTAAAATCTCCGGTGCCCTCTAGGCTGTCCCTTCTCACGGCTATTCTCAAGTCAAACCCTTCTCACCAAAGACCTTTCTCCCCGGCTTCGTGTCCCACCTTCTCTCTCAACTCTCTGGCCTCTTCCACGCTCACACTTGATCAAAAAGTAAAGGAAACCCCACCCACACCTAAAAAATCTCTCTCAAGTTGCTCCCTAAGAGCCGAGTCTCCAGACAAAGGGGAACACCAGGTTTCTGAGCTGGCCAAGCAATCTTTTCGCTTACCTTTTTCCACCAAGTCTGGTCCCCTTTCTCAGGTGCCCTCCCTGTTTCCTACAAAACATGTTGATAGCAGTATTGTTTCCTTGGATGTAGAGCAAACACCCTCATCCACTTTGAAGAGCAATACGATACTCTCCCTGCTACAAACCAATACATCGAGTTCTGCAGGTCTTCCTCCTGTTCCACCAAGCTCCTCTTTCTCTTCTTTGAAGGGCAAACAGGATGGTGACGTCAGGAGTCCAGAAAAGCCCAGGGATATTTACTCACACCCTTCCACATTGGCCTCCTCTGCATTATCTTCTGTAACTCCTCCTATTAGTCAAAGAGCCATGCTCTCACCTGCAGATAAATGTTTCCATCCTTCCCCAGCTCTTTCAAACCTGATAAACAGATCCCAAAAAGCATCGTATCAACTATCTGGCCAGAAACTGAATCCTTCAACTCTTCCTTCACTGCCTGTTTCCACTGCTGGTTCTGCCACTCTTCCTAACTTGGGGTCCTCCTCCCTTCCTCGTGCTAATCCGCCCACCCAGGAGCTCCAGCTCAGTCCCTCAGCACTGCACCCAAATTGTGGCAGTGGTTCCTTGCCTTCAAGACTTGGGAAATCTGAAAGCATCATATCCAACCACAGGTCACCTGTTTCGACCTTGTCACTTCCCATAGCTCTAACAAGAACTGAGCAGCCGATTTCACCTTGTGCATGGTCTATGTCAACAGGCCCTGAAAATAAGAAGCCCAAGGTATTTTTTTGCACGTTGCATGGTGCATGCTTATTTTGAAATATGGAAGAATCATTTTTTTCCAGAGCAAAGAAAAAAAAAGATCAATAATTATGATCCTACTAGAAGGAAGAGAAAATGTAAGGTGGGAAGGGCTAGGAATTGATATACTTGAATGTGGAGAAGACTCATAATTTGTTTAAAATTACGTGTGTCAGTCAAATACTTTGATTTTTGCAAATCCTCCTCCTAAGGTAACTTCTTATATTTGTGACTTCAGGGGCATTTTTTTTTTCCCCAGGCGTAGTTTCAGTTATATCATTGGTTCTTATGATAGAATTAAAAGTAGCTTGTTGAGATTTGGGAACATAGTATATTTCTGGTTACTTAATAACAGGGACCCTATAATCTATCAAAACAGTTTGTGCCAAGAGAACACTAGCAGGATTAGTATTAAATGGAATATCATCTTGGATCTAGGCCTATAATATGGTCAAGCCAGTTTGCAAACTTCCTATTTCCCTTACCCACATTAATTTATTATTAATTTTCTTTCCTTTGCCTTGCCAGGTTGATTCCTTTACTACTCCCCATACTGCAAGCTAAATCGATGTGGATTTAGCTATGCATATGCAGGGCAAAAAAGAAATAGAAATTTTTCTCATATGTGAAAATTATTTGATTTATTATAAATGCTAAATACCTCGCAATTAGAAAACCCAGAAGAGATGAACAAGCTGTTTAGTTAAAAAATTAGGATTTTTAAAAAAGATAATTTTTAATTTTAATTTTTGAGTCAGCATCTCACTTTGTCACCCAGACTGGAGTGCGGTGGACCTCTCTTGGCTCAACGTAGCTTTGATCTCCTGGACTTAGGCGATCCTTCTGCCTTAGCTTCCTGTGTAGCTAGGACTATAGGTGCATAACACCAGGCCTGGCTTATTTTTTTTATTTTTTTGTAGTGATGAGGTCTTGCCATGTTACCCAGGCTGTTCTCAATCTCCTGGGCTCAAGTGATCCTCCCACATTAGCCTCCCAAATTGTTGGGATTACAGGCATAAGCCACCATACCCACTAAGAAATATTGGTTTTAAATGCTCTGAAGCAGTCCATTGAGCAAGAATGTGAAGACAGTACTTCTTTTAATATAAGGAGGAAAACATTTGAAGGAGCAACATCGTTGTCAGTTCTCCTAGTGGAAAGCAGCTCTGCACTAGGACAGACCAGCTTCCCAACCATTCCAAGTAATTCAGATTGTGGACCCTCTACACCAGAATTTGATAGTTGTTATAGAAATAAAATAAAATTATGCACGTTCCTATATTAAAAGGGGTGGGAAATTCAGTTCAGTGCATTGCAATATTATAACTTTATTGCTTTGAAATACCATGGTGAGTGTTTTTAACTCTGTCACTTTTCAGATGATGAATGTAAATTTGGAGTGGTAAAGTGACCCTCATGATCTTACCATTCAATTCAGCTTAAAAAGCATGCATTAAACACCTACTGTATGCCCACCACTATACTAGATTTCTTTGGATTGTGTGTGGTTATTTTTAAAGGGAAGTAAGAGATAATTCTTTGTCTTAAAAATATACATATACGCCGGACTTGGTGGCTCAGCCTGTAATCCCATGCCTTTGGGAGGCTGAGGTGAGTGGATTGCCTAAGCCCGCGGGTTCGAGACCCGCCTGGGCAGCAAGACCTCATCTCTACAATAAATCAAAAAATCAGCTGGGCGTGGTAGCGCATGCCTGTAATTCCGGCTACTCGGAAGGCTGAGGCGGAAGGATCGCCGGAGCCCAGCAGGTTGAGGCTGCGGTGGCCGGGAGCGGCCACTGCACTCCAGTCTGGGCGACCGAGTGAGACTCCAACTCAAAAAAAAAAAAATACATATACATAATTTGGAGAAGTTATATAGAATTATTAAATCTAAAATATAGCAAAAGAAGTATAAGGCAAAATTAATATTGTGTAAGACATGTTATAAATAAAATAATTGTTGACTGAGTTCAATATACCAGGAATATTGTTATGGAATATGGTTATTGAGGAATGTTTTAAAAAATGTCAGGCCTGTTGGAATGTTTAGGATTTGACTTAATGAAGAGGAGAGGAGTTGGCATTTCAGAAATGGAAAACAGCATGACCAGATATACAGAGGATAATCCCAGAAGACTTTGTGTGGAGACGTAAGAGGATTGGCCTTATAATCAAGTGATAATAATAGTAATGATATCAGGTGCTATCTGTGAATCGAGAACTATGATAGTAGTTATAAAACAGTGGAAAATTGATTAAAATGAATTATGCCAATTAATTTTTATAGCCATATGAGGTTGGTAACAGTATCATCTCGATTTTGTACACCAAGAACTGAAACTTAGTGAATAACTTGTCCAGGTCACATATTTGGTATAGAATTGACATTTATATTAATTTAAGTCTGCTGATTCTTGAAACCATGTTTTTCATTACTATGATTTATCACTACAAGTAATAACTCACTAATTATCAGTTTAACCTGACTTTATACTTCTCATGAAGGAAATTATTACTATGGAATAATGATCAGAATTTTCAATTTATAAAATATTTGAATCTTTAAAAAAATGTGTTGAAGATTATTAAGTCCTTGTGTTTAAAACTTTCAAAGCAATTGGGGCAGATAAAATTTAAATTTTTCTATGACTCTAAATTAAAATTTCTGTTTATTTGAGATAAAGCTGATCTGGTTTTATCTTTTCTATATATATGTGTAATTATAAAATTTATTTGTGATATATGAAAAATACTATTTTCTGAATTTATTAACTATCATTCTTGCTACCTCGCATAGGTAACTATGTTACCTCGCATATAAATTATTCATTACCTTTGTAAAAAGTGATTTTACTCCAGAAGCTTCTTCAAACTGTTTCTATATATGGTTCACTGTATTTTGTTTATGTTTTCTCCCATTTTAAATGTAGTCAGAGAGCTGGAAGAGTGAGAGGTTAGAAGGACTTTTGATAAATTAAAGGCCTGTTTATTGAAGACCTATTTTTCCCTGGATCTCTTCCTGCTCCCAACATTAAAGAATTTTCAGCATTTGCTTTTTTTTTTTTAAATCCACGTCAGAAAAATTCAAGTTTGGGAATGGGTGATAAATTTGATGAACATGAAAATAAGAGGATTGATTATGATTTAACTATCAGTAAAATTATTAATCTATTTCTTTGAACAGAAAAAAAAGTCTCTTATCATGAGCAAAATGTATAATAACTTCTGCCAAAATGGTTGCTTTCTGAGACATGCTGTTCTTTTTCAGATTTATTTCCTCCTTGCATCCTGCTATATTATCTCTCTAGGTAAAAATCAGATCATCAGCCTACATTTTTTAAAAAAACACAGACTATTATTTTCAGAAATTATAACTTGACTATAATTTTTTAAATTGATGTTAGAATAGAGACATCTTATTTCAGTTTTGTTTGATATTAGACTAACGTTTAAATTTGTAAAATTATTTTATAGAGTGATATGAGGAAATCAACAAAAGCTTTGTGGTACAAAATAATTTATATGCTTTCATGGGTTGTTTCTTGTTCAGTGTGGTGCTAATCTGAGCATGGACTCTTTTTAAAGTCACAGAGCTTCAGATTTAGGTCAGCTTCACTTATTCCCAGATCCTAAAAGGATAGATTTTTCTAGAATACAGATGGTCATCAAATTAAAACCCAAAATGCTTTAAGGATATTAGTTTAAAGTCTGGGGCCTACTGCATTTTGATATTAAAATAAAATAGATGAGTGAGCGTGTGCTGAACTGAATCCAGATATAAAGAATGCTTGCTATTTCTTTTTCATAGATAAAAATCTTACAGTTCTGAATCTGTTTGCATTCATATGACATAATTGATATAGTATGCTAACTCAGATGTTTTAAAATACTGTTTTGAATTTTGATCATGGCACTAGACAGGATAGGCATCTCCCTGAATAGGTCAGCTTCTTTTTGATCGACATCTATGTTGCCTGAGACATTTTTTTTCTCTTTGGGAAAAATTAGGCGTTACAAAATTCACCCATGGGATTGTGTTTGGGATCCCAGTATATTCTTCCTTCGTTTATACAGAGGTTAAGTTTTTTTCCTAATGAGTTCTCATGGTGTTCCATGTGGAAATTGGGGTGACCATTATATCAAAACCTCATATAGTCTGCTACTCACTGAAGATAGTCTGAAGATCAGTTTCAACTATGAGGGCCTCCAGTGATGGACCTGTCCTAGCATTTCTTAAAAAAAAAAAAATTTTATTTTAAAGATGTGGGGCACAGCCGAGCTCGGTGGCTCAGCCTATAATCCCGCGCTTTGGGAGGCTGAGGTGAATGGATTGCCTGAGCCCGCGGGTTCGAGACCTGCCTGGACAACTTGGCGAGACCTCATCTCTACAATAAATCAAAAAATTAGCCAGGCGTGGTAGCGCACGATTGTAGTTCCAGCTACTTGGAAGGCTGAGTGGAAGGATTGCCGGAGCCCAGCAGGTCGAGGCTGCGGTGGCCGGGCGCGTGCCACTGCACTCCAGTCTGGGTGACAGAGTGAGACTCCAGCTCAAGAAAAAAAAAAGATGTGGGGCACAATTCAGGAACAGGTATTCAAGTGTGTTCTAGCATTAAAGGTATTTGGCCACATAGATTGTTTAGGGAATCAGTGTGGAGCTTTTTGATATTTTTTGAATTTTTATAGCTGGTGTTTTATTTATAAGACTCTCATTCCTTTAAGACATCAAAACACTTTCAAATATATTATACCAAAAGCTTGGTGGCAGCAGTCTGTATGTGACTTTCTCCATTTCTGTGGAACTACATGTAATTTTGTAAATGAGTAATAAAGAATATGTCTCCATAAGCTAAAGTAGTTAATCTAGGTTCAAACAAATCATTTATTCAGTAAATATTTATTGAGTACCCAATGTGTGCTTTTCAAAGCTGTATTTTGCAACAAAAACAAACATGCAAAAATGCCAGCTCAAAGAAAGTTTA